CACATTCACTTTGGTTTAGGATCCATATCACTTTCAGGCTATGGATTCTGCATGGTTTAGGTAGCAAACATTGCAGGGCAAGGTTCGTGTGTTAATTTTTTTTCTTTTAAAAGAACATTTAGAAGGGAGATTTGTTTAAAGGGAGGTTCCTTTAATTCACAGAAATATCTGAGTTACCAGAGCTTGGTTTTACAATGCTTGAAATTTCTGACAAAATCTGAATGCTCTCATCTGCAAGTGAACAATGTTCGTAGCTGGGCCCTTTCTTGCCATCAAACCCTTGCTCAGCACCAGGTTTCAAGTTACCTGTGATTTAATGAAAAGGTGAATTTCCATTTGTCCTGCTGCCCAGCAACAAAGAAAAAGGTAACAAAAAAGGAGCCCTGCTGCTGAGAGAGCAACGTTTGGCTTGGATAAACACCCCCGAGGGCAGCAATTCAAACCAGTCTAATATCTTGTTTTATGCTTTAAATCCAATGACTCAGTGGACTGGGAGGTTACCTGCAGGTTGTTACCTGTAACAGATCACAAGGCTGCAAAAAAGCCCAGCCATACCGCTGCTCATGCAGCCACCAATGCCCTTCGCAGGTATGTAAATATGGGTGTTTCACCACCCCACCCTTTTTTCCACATGGCATATGTCTCACCTACAATTCTGCAGCGCCCTGTAGCAAATCCAGCCAAGAATGCCTTTTCTTTATTCAGTGCCACGGTCAACTTTATCTCACCACATAATGTCAACAAACCGGAGGAGCCACTCTGCCTTCCAGTCTCACAGCACATACAGCTGGCAAAATGCGGACGTGAAGAGGTGCTTTAACTGACGTAGCGTAGAGACCAGGAAAGAGGGGCTCAGTCCCTTTTGCAGTGTCTCCTTCTACATGCACACATTCAAATGATGGAAGGGGAAGCCAGAATTGCAGGACTTGGTACCTTTAACTGTATAGCATCCAAAAAGCTGCTTTGCTTTGACCATATATTTGGGGTGGTCCAATAAAAGAAAGAAAAAGAAACACCCTGGCTTCTCACACACGTCCTGGACTATCATGGCTACAATACTCCAATGCAACTACTAGGATCTAGGAGTCTCCTGACCAGAATTAAGCTATCCATTTCCTTTCCTCCCCACCCCGAATCCCTGGTCTCGTGCCTCCTGAATTGCACAGCACTTGGTCTTCATCCCACACACATTTCTCTCTACTATTTTCTACCCTGTCCAGCCGCTTTTCCTTCCACATCCTGTAGTCAGCCATCGAAGGCTCCTCAAGGCAGCAACCCTCCCGTCACTCAAAAAGCTCATAGACATGCTTCTCCACCATGCTCCATCCACTCATCAGCTGGCCAAAAGGTAGCGATGGTGCTTCTTCCCCAATGCTGCCACACCTCGTGCATCGGCATCCCCGACCTTAAGAGTGGCGGTTGGGGTGCTTTAACTAAAGGTCATTCGCCAAGCTTTAGTTAAAGCACCCCTGCTGCCATTTTTTCAGTGCAGGGATGCTGATACACGAGCCACTGGAGTCAGTCATTAGCTCGCTCCAGCAGACGTGGTGAACGAAGCCTGCTCCGACACGCTGTGATCACAGCACACCGGGGCAGCCTTACTGCTCGTGCGTAGACACCCCAGATGTTTAGCTGTCAGATCATCACAGCGATCCTCGGCTCTTCTGATTGTAGTTTGCCCCCACTGAAACCAGGGAGCGAGAGCATAGCCTTGGCAAGCGATGAGAGCATTCAGATGAGGCCTCGGCCTTCGAGCACACGGGCGCAATCCCCCCTGCCGCCGCAGACCCGGACTGGGTTGGATTTAATGGCAGCCTTCGACTCCCCGAAGGGGCGTTCGGAAGGGGATGGAGCCGGGCTTGCCATCCCCCAAGCGGCGGCAAGGGAAGTTCGGATTTGAGACTGTGAAGAACAAAACCCCCAGTTCTCACTCGCAGGGCAGTCAAACAGGGGAACGGGGTCCCTAGAGAGGCGGCGCAATCGCTGCCCTTGGCGCTTGCTATGCCAAGCCTCGTCTGGGATGAGGGAGCTGGGCCCTGGGAAGTGGCAAGGCCTGCGGCCTTCTCCGCCAGCACCGGGCCGCGACCCTGGGAGCCTCCTTCTCGCCCGAACAAGCCCCGGGCGGCGGGACCGGCCCCGGAGACGCGGCCCCGGCCGCTGCCGCCGCGGAGCATC